AAGGATGTTATAGTTGATCTTATGTATGTGAAAATTCTGCATGTGATCTCTAAGTTTGTTATTCAGTTATTAAAGGGAAATTCTGCCATTTTTTCTAAGTATCTGCAGAACTAAATGGTTAAGATGCTCTGTTGTGGAGAAACTTACAGATTCAGAATTGTTCACAGTGGTGGTGTTTGGAACCAGACGTCTGAAGGGTTTAATGTCTGTAAAATCTCCCTCATTATGTATATTTATAACCTGAAATGGTTGAGAATTTGCTGCCTGATGCCTGATACAAAGGTTTTGAGTTGAAATTTTGGCCTGAAACATTTTATATATTAAATATTTTTATCTAAATGTATGGTGGAGGAGTACATGCAAGGTGTTGTAAGCCCAAATAGCTCCCCAAGAATTTTTTTTTCAGATTTATCACATTTTACCATCAACTTTACATATAAAAAAGAAGACGTGTAGATTTATTGGTGGTTTTGGTTGGCAAATAAGCTGGTTTTGTGTTGTAGACCTTGTGACCCCTGGTTCCTATCATCACCACTGTAAAGAAAACAAAGTCAGTAGAAGAAATCATTTCACATCAAACCATCCTAATGTTTTTATTTACATCACAACTATTGAATTATTCACACAGATTGAAAAATTGGTGAAACTCCCCTCTAATCTTAATCCTATTCAGTAACTGCTGTAAACTGTACAGTAACTAACATATATGTAGTTATGGGAGTAAAGAAGAAGTATTGACCCCCTGTTCCTAGAGTTCAGGGGATTATACAGTTAAAACACAAGCTATATTGGAAACTGAATCATGCCAGTTTGTGCGTGTTGGGGGAGTGAATATAAATTCTTGTGCATGTTCGTATATGCATACTTGTATTTATGAGCATATGTAAGAGACTGGGGCTGCATGCCATGCTGAGCTGTTGGTCAGGGGGGTATTACTGGCCTGCGGCTCAAATTTCAGCCCTCGCTGAGACCTGCCATCAGCATACCAGCAAAAGTTTTTCTAATCAGGTGTGGGGCAATGTGGAGTATATTTAACACCCCCCAGAGAGCCCCAATAAAGGAAAACGATTAAACTTTGTGCTGGTCCTGGCTGTTGGGAAGCAGATGCATCATTGCGGTCACATTCAAAACCTCATTTTTTTCTGTTATCCCTAAAGATTTCAGTCTTAAAATGCAAAATTTGGTAACAATTTATTTCGACTTCAGATGCTTTGTAGATACTTCATTTACTTTCGAGTTACATTCAACTAAATATCTACTAAATTTACCATAATTTTCTTGAACTCTAAACGTGGCTCTAATCCTAACCCTAACCTTAACCTCAACCCAAAACATAAACCCAACCCTCACCCTGGTCCTAACCCAACCCTAACCCAACCACTGTTTAGAATTGATTGGGTTTCAACAGACAGTTTGTTAACAATTTGAACATCTGTAGATGATCTATAGGGGACTATAGTGGACTATCCAAATAAAGTGAGACCTAACATTTTGGTTTACATTTTATCCTGGTGAAAGGAACCAGATGTCCAAATAGCCTAATGACTCTAAAAGCTACTTCACAAGAATCAATGGGAAACCCTCCAGGCCCTCTAGCTCTTCAGAAAGGCCGATGTTTTCCATGAAAATAAAAAGTATTTACTTTGCAGTTCATTTTCATTTAATATAAGAAACCATTTTTATTGTGTTTAAACTCTATCAAAGCTATTTTATTGTGAAGTTTTGGTTGGAAACAAAAGGTTTCTTGTGAAATTTAGGTAGATACAGCCAAGTGAGCTGGCTCCTGAATGCCTTACATGCCAGATCAACCATGAAAATAATTAGATACTGAATGTGGAATTGGCCATGTTTTGATTTCCAATGGCTGGGACCAAATTGTGAGAAAAGAATGAACTCTAGGCCATCTGGAAGATCTAGATATATCACTGACTGCAAATACAAGTAGTAGCCTAACCAAGGAAAATGGAAGTCCTTCAAAAGGACCTGCTGGCTAACGAGTAAAGACACTGACAGGCAGATTTTGCAATAACGATTTATTATTAAAACAAATTTCTCTTCTTGAAGATGCTTATTATTACAAAGTATCTAAATACAGGCATCTGAGGTATATCTGTCTGCGTGTGGACAAGTTGAGATGGATTTCGTCGGACTCAAGTGTTTGTGAGGATGAACAGAGGCTAAATGAATGGAAGCTAAATGTACTGAACAACATGAAGGCCCTTGAGGTGTATAAGTAAATAAATGAACAAATGCAAAAAGAAAGAGTAGCTTTTGTGGTTTTTGTTCCAGGTTGAGAAATCCAGTGGTAATTGATTCATAGCATTCCTTCAACAGAAGCCCATTGACTGCAGAGAGAGGAAGAAAATATACATCTTGTACAACTCATAAGCGAGTTATGCATCTCGTACAACTCAAGCAAGAGAAGCAAGCTAGCTGTACCTGGGGACTGTCTCACAAAGCAGGATTTCATGTTTTGCCAGCTAATTTTGAGCTTAGTTCGATCTAACCCTGGCTCACAGAAGAGATGGATCACTTTTAACTGGGCCACATCACCATGGCAACTTATCCTGATTGCCTAACCTGCTTCAGGGCCAGCCAAGTTTAAGATTTCAGATCATAAACAGCTCCTGGACCAATCAGGTTAGAGTTCCTGACCAAGCAAGCACAGCCTTGTGATGGAGACGGACTCCTTTGGTCATATGTCAGGCCACTGAAATACTATGACACAAGCTAATGTCAGAAAAACCTGACCAGACACACACTATATGGCCAATAGTATGTGGACACCTATGAGCTTGTTGGGCATCTCATTCCAAAACCATGGGCATTAAAACACAGTCCACCATTCACCCCGACTGTGGGAATTTGTGCCCATTAAGTCAAAAGAGGTCAGGGCTCTGTGCTGGCCACTGCAGTTCCTCCACACCGAACTCAGCAAGCCATGAATTTATGGAGCTCACTTTGTGCACAGGGGCTCAGCCATGCTTGAACAGGAAAGGTTCTTCCCCAAACTGCTGCCACAAAATTGAAGCATGTAATTGCCTAAAATGTCTTTGTGTGCTGTAGCATTAACCTTTAACATCACCCTTCACTGGAACTGAGGGGCCCAAACCCTGAAAAACAGCCCCAGCCCATTATCCCTCCTCCACCAAACTTTACTGTTGGCATTATGCATTCTGACAGGTAGTGTCCACTGGCATTTGCCAAACTCAGATTCATCCATCAAACTGCCAGATAGTGAAGCTTGATTCATCACTCCAGAGAACGTTTCTACTGCTTCAGTGTCCAGTGGTAGCATGACTTACACCACCCCAGCTGACACTTAGCATTGCGCATAGCGATCTTAAGCTTGTGGGCAGCTGTTCAGCCATAAAACCCACTTCATGAAGCTTCTTGTGCTGATGTTGCTTCCATGATGATACTCCTCTGTATGACCCATTCTACTGCCAGTGTTTGTCTATGGAGATTGCATGGCTATGTGCTTGATTAAATACACCTGTTAACAATGAGTGTGGCTAAAACACCTGGACTCAATAATTATGAAATGTGTCCGCATACTTTTGGCCATATTGTGTAGGTGTTGTGTCACTCTTTATGCCAGAATAATGCAATAAGCCTTTATACATGTTATATAAGTCCATGTTAGTTGCCAGTTGACAAGCTTATGTAGGTATTGTGTAGCATAATGAACACTGCCCTACAGCAAAGTGTTACCAAAAGTTGTTAACTGCTATTGTAGATCAAGTTAAGAGCATTCGCATTTATTAGGTTTTGTAAAGCTAAAACTCCCTTTTCAAGTTGAAAACATGCTTCATGAGACAGTCCCCCGATCACAAGTGAAACTGTTTGAATCATATTTGGCTATTTTTGTGATTGCGTGTGAGGTTGCACTCGAGAAGATGGAACTGTTTTGGACCAGCGGTTGGAAAAATAGCATTCGGGTTCAGTGAAATCCCTCAAGGTTGCAGGGTGACAGTGTAATTGTTAGCATCTTTGGCATGAATGGCAGTTGTTTATGTTGACGAAGCTGAATGTGTACAGAAGCTTGCAACTTTTGAAACAAACCATCGTGGCGAAAGCACTGGATTATCTTAAGGCATTCTCGCTTTGATGTTCAATAGGTAGAAGAACAATTTGTCACATACTCACACATACCTGCACACATCAAGGCCACCATACAGCTTAAAGGAAAAGATACCACACATACATCTCACTCACACATACACACACTGTGTGTATACCTATACATCTTGGCATATTAGATATATCCTTCCCTCTTTAAATCAATTACAGTGCTGTGAAAAAGTACCTGAGATACTCTCTATTACTGCATATTGTCACAGAGCTTTAATCAAAGATTTCAGACAAAGAAAACTGGGTAACACTTTCTATGAATGTCACGTTTGTAAGCATTTAAACACACATTTGTAACATGTTATAATGCCTTCATACGGCATTATGAACATGATTATAAACATTTATAAAAATGAATTGCACTGGATTACACTTTATAGCCATGTTTATTATACATTATGAATTGTTAATATAGTGCATTATAAGTAGTGTTGATAACATGTTATACTGTCAGTGCCAAAGAAGTCAGTCCCAGCTTGGAGAGTGCAAAGTAAAGTCAAATACCAAGCTAACGGTGGTGTACATTAACTGTCCCACATTGGGTAAAACACTGAGGGCAGCTCTAGTTTAAACTCTGTCATTTGAAGCCTGTAATGTGCTTTACTGTGAATGTTTTAGTGTTTTAGTAAATTCCTCAGTAAATATTTTAACTTGAAGCCTCACTCTTAACACTGGAGGAGGCTTTAGTACAGTACGCTTCACTTTACTTAGAGCAGACAAATACGACTTATGAGCTCTTATAATTTGTTATGATCAGTACTTATAATGTATTATGTTAACAATTCATAATGCATAATAAGCATGGCTATAACATGTAATGCATATTTATAAATATGTATAGCCATGTTTATAATGCCTTATGAATGCATTATAACATGTTATGAATGTGTTTATAGATGCTTATAAAGGTGACATTCATAGAAAACTGTTTCAAACACAAAACACATTTTTTAGAATTTGTTCAAACTTTTGACCTAACTGCAACCAACAGTTCCTATGATTTGATATCAGCCTTGCACACAGTTGCGGTGGAATTTGAGCCCACTCTTGCGTGCGGAACAGCTTTAATTCAGACATATTGGTAGGTTTTTGGGCAGGAACTACTTTTCCGAGGCTCTTCCACAGCATCTCTGCTGGTTCAAGTCAGGACTTTGACTAGGCCACTTCTGAACATTCACTGTGTTTCTTTTCAGCCTTTCAGATGTGGATTTTTTTTCTGTTTTCGATCATTTGTTTGCTGCATGACCTGATTATGTTTCAGCTTCAGCTCACGGACAAATAAACTGACACTCTCCTTAAGAATTCTCTGACACAGAACAGAATTCAAAGTTCCTTCAGTTATAGGAAGTCCCATGACAGCAAAACATATCCACACCTTCCCACTACCACCGCCATGCTTCAATGTTGGTACGATGTTCCCATTGTAGAATGCAGAACTTGCTTTACAGCAGATATGAAGGGACTTGTGTTGACCAAAATGTTGCACCATAGAACAAAAGTTAGTCCATAAAACATTATCTTTGGATTGTCCAGGTGCATTTTTGCAAATGAGAGATGAGCATTGATGTGTTAGTCCCTTATTGTGGAGTCATGGACACCGACCTGCCTAGCAAGGCCTGTAGTTCTTTTTATGTTCATCTGGAACTTTTGTTGACTGCCTGAATGTTTTCCTTTAATTTTGACAGGCCAGCTAATTCACTAATGTTCCTAAGGCTAACAGTTTGTTGATCCTTGCTCTCACTGTTGTAATGTTCTAGAAACTTAGAGGGATGGTGGTTGGTGAAGTGTAGTGCCCTCTACATGGCAGGATGTGGTTTAATTCCCACCTAGGCAAGCACACTATGCTACACCAATAAGGGTCCTTGGGCTAGACTCCCAAAGCTAAAAGTGCCTATGTAACATGATTAAAATGGATGTCCCTCTAAATGAGAGCGTCTGCCAAAATAAATGTTAATGTGTTACACTTTTCATCTTCCATTTGATCATGGCAAACTGCGCTTGGTAAAATTTTGTGCTTCATCACTCAGATGGTCAACTTCTACAATACAAACAAGGTTTATGTTTAACATAACTGGCTGCATTCAAATGTAACTGCGCTCAATGAGCTGAATCTCATTAACAATTACATTTGGTTCATCTTTTTGCTTGAGTACCAAAGTGGGGGGGCACTACTCACATGGGCGATTTACATGTTGGACAACCTCCCAAAATAAATGGAATAAAACATTTAAAAAATGTGTTTTGAGTTGGTTAAGATAATACTTCGTTGAAAGATCTTAAAGCACTCACCATGTCAAATATGCAATAATATAGAAAATCAGGCCCTTTTCACAGCACTGTATTTTGAAAAAAAAAAAATATACAGTTCTAAGTCAAATGTCATATACTGTGCAATGTACATATACCATTAAACATCCAGCATGTTTAAATCAATTGAAGAATCAAGAGACTAATATGGTTACAAATCTGCAGGTTTTCCAAATTTCTCATTTTGATTTTCAAATGACGTTCATAATCATACGATATTCACCTGCATCATTATTCATTTAACATACGACGCATCACACGCCATTCACTGATAAATATAACATTTCAGAGGCCTAATAAAATATATCCACATGTGATTTCAGCTCATTTTAAATCCTACTGCGTTGTTATCCTATTGGAATATACTCGTCTAAATGAACTAAGCTAAATTTACTGTACTGTATTTTCCTTATCATCTTCCTTGAGGCCAATAACATTACATTTTTTGGCATGTGCGAGAAGTATTTTATGTACGGGAAGTGTCTAATACTAAATCAGCTGACCAAAGATAATTAAAGTTGCTATATGTAGAAGTATTTACCATACAAAATGCTACTGATATCCCCCGTTCACAGTTTGACTTGATATTGACATGAATAGATTCAAATCTTAAAATAACTTTACATCGCCTTTAGATCTGATAGAACATCACCATAACATAAACAGCAATAACCACGGTTCCTGTGATGATCTCGCTGGCTAAAATCAACTAAGTAGACTGTTACATGTAGGATTAGACTGTGTCCCATAACTGTACATGATTGAAGTGCACTGGTGAAGTTGAGTGTTATGTACCCTGTGGAGAACATCAGAGAACATTTCCAGCCTGGACCATGGCAGTCACACAGTCAGAAGAGAGAACAGAGGGCATCAGGGTCATGAGGGTTCACTAAATGCCCCTATTCTCTCGATATGGGGAGTGATCACCACACCCGGCAAGTCTTTTCAGGCACCATGTAGTCGTTTCTCTGGCACTGGAAAGCTTTGGCAAACTCTGGGAAATTCTGCAAGGATCCTAGAACCCTGCAGGCAGGATTGAAAGCACTGATTATTCAGTAGCTGACCAAAAAAAACAACAAACTGCATTTGCCATTTCACATATGTGCTAATTGTCAGCAGTGGCAACCAATGATATTTAGAGCAACGCCTTTAGTTCACTCCTTTTAGTTCAACTTAGCACTCTTATTGGATTCAAGTATGTTAGCCTAAGGCTAACTGCTAGTTACATGAACACTGTCATATGTACATTTGAGCTTGTAAAGGACACTTGCTTTTTGGTTAAGTTAACATATGTAAAACATGAAATGTAATTTGTTCTAGCATCTCTTCCAGTATGTATGTTAGCATGAAGCTAACTTCCAGTCACGTGAACATTTTCACATGTACATGTGAAGCTTGTAAAAGACATTTACTTTTTCTTTGCTAAATTTAACAGATTGGGGAAAAAATAAAACATAAAATCGAATTTGTGCTAGCACTTCTATGGGATTCCAGTACGTATGTTAGCATAAGGCTAACTGCTTGTCACATTGACATTGTCAATACAATGACATTGTACACAAATACAATGACTTGTAAAAGACATTTACTGTTTCTGTGCTTAATTTAACAGACTGGGGGAGAAAATACACCTAAAATGTGGTATGTACTAAAGTTTTGGCACTACAACCTATTTTCACTTACAAAATCAACAAAACGAGTCATTTGACAAGACCAGTGAAGCTCAAACTTCGGCACACAATTGTATATTTAATCGAAAAAAGAAACAAAGTGCTGAAGTTGACCTGAAGATGACTCGTATTAGGTCAACATTTAAAACAAAGATGAGCAATTTCTGAGAAGGTTATCATACCTGAACTTCCCTGGACTGTGGACATCAGTTTTGATGGAATTAACAGCATGTTCCGGTCTATGTGTCCCACACCAAATCTGGAGAAAGAAAAGGTTAAGCTTGAAAAATGGTCAGAAATTTTATGTCATCACTGGGGACACATCTAATGTTTCGTCAATTTTTACAGCTTCCTGTTATTAATAAAAGCTAAAGTTGCAAAGACTAACATAAAAGAATCATTTTATACATTCTTCTGAAACCAAGTTGATTTTATATAACTGAAAAAACTAATTCTAAATTTTAAACAGTAGTACAAAAATTTTTTTCTCCAAATTCCTACATTTAGAGTGCATAAATCAGCATATCGGGAAACCTTTGGGTCCATTGGGTCAGTTGTTACAACATGCTGTCATTTTACCCAAAACAGTGTCATGACAAGCTAATGTTAAAAAACATTAATGTAGTCTGACATAGGCGTTATGTCAATGTGACATCGAAAGCAACTGACATCAACAGCCTAGAAACACCTTAGCAGCCACCTAGGATACCACAGCAACAGCCAAGCAACGCCTTAGCAGCTACCTGGGATACCATAGCAATGGCCTAGCAATGCCTTAGCAACTACCTGGGATACCACAGCAACAGCCAAGTGACACTTTAGCAAATATCTGGGATACTACAGCAACAGCCAAGCAATGCCTTAGCAACTACCTGGGATACTACAGCAACAGCCAAGCAACACCTTAGCAGCTACTTGGGATACTACAGCAACAGCCAAGCAACACCTTAGCAACTACCTGGGATAACACAGCAATGGCCAAGCAACACCTTAGCAACTACTTGGGATACTACAGCAACAGCCAAGCAACACCTTAGCAGCTACCTGGGATACCATAACAAAGGCCTAGCAATGCCTTAGCAACTACCTGGGATACCATAGCAACAGCCAAGCGACACTTTAGCAAATATCTGGGATACTACAGCAACAGCCAAGCAACACCTTAGCAACTACCTGGGATAACACAGCAATGGCCAAGCAACACCTTAGCAGCTACTTGGGATACTACAGCAACAGCCAAGCAACACCTTAGCAACTACCTGGGATAACACAGCAATGGCCAAGCAACACCTTAGCAACTACTTGGGATACTACAGCAACAGCCAAGCAACACCTTAGCAGCAACCTGGGATACCATGGCAATGGCCTAGAAGTGCCTTAGCAACTACTTGGGATAGTACAGCAACAGCCAAGCAACGCCTTAGCAACTACCTGGGATAACATAGTAATGGCCCAGCAATACATTAGCAACCACTTGGAATTCCATAGCAGCAGCTTTGTCAAGCCAACTTAGAGTTCCTTCACAAACTTTCCTTTTTAGTTTCATTTGGTTGTTTTATTTTGTCTCGTAATCTCACCCTGCCTTACAGCTACTGCACTTCATCAATCTCAAGCTTACACATCACAGTCTGTCATTTAATTGGTTGTCTAAGTAAAAAAAGAAGGAATTACAGTCACATCAGAAAGACCGTAGTTAAATTCTCACCTGGGCAAAGTTTAGGAAGAAAAGCTGCTCGTGGTTAAGGTCGAGTCCAGGCAAAGGAGCTTCCTTCCCATGCTTGTTGACGTATTTCTGGTATGCCTAGAACAAACATCCCGCATGTTTCTTTAATCAGTCTTCTCTCAGATCAGAATCGACACAAATCTGCAAAAGCTGGCAGGTTCTACTACACTGCTGTCAGAAATGGGACTGACCACAAACGCAAATTCCTCTTAAATTATTAAATAGGACACTTTTATGCATTATTTTGCAATTTTATGCAATTTTATTATTTGGGTATTTTCCTACAATTATGTTTTAAGGCCAAGTTCACCATCATAACCGGCCTGCAAGAATCTGTCCAAAAACAAGAGTAAACTAAACAGCTTTTTTCTGTGTTCTGGACATTATTAAAGCCACCCCTGCTTGATTTCTCACCATAACAAACATCAACATCGTGGACAAAGATGGAGCTAATAAAGTAGCTTGGCTGGAACGGCACTTTTTAACACATTTGAGCCCTGTCTGCTATTTTTTTGGGGGGTGGGGCGCGAATCTGGGGACCTAAGAGAAAGACAGAAGTGGCACCACCTGGATGCACATTTGTAAACTAGTTGAGGCTCTGAGATCCCGAATGATGCAACTGTCTACACACTGAAATAATCAATGTGTAATTAAAACTGATAAAATCTACAAAATAAACTATTTTTTATTATTTCACATTTACTGTTTATTTTGCTTGTTTTCAGTAGTTTTATTAAGTGAAATGATATCATTATACTGGCAGATATTTATGCTTGTTTTGACCCTAAATAATTTATTATCTTTCAAGGCCTTACGTCTCTAAATAAAAGATTGCTATTTTTGGTTCATTTTTAACAACTTTTCCTGATTTAATGGGAACAACTGGGTAAACATAAAATTAACATGATGATATGTTTTCAATGTTTCAATGGGGCTGTTTTAGCTGAGTAAAACATCAGAAATATTAATATTTTATGCACATTTGTTTGTTTGTTGTGCGTGATATTAAGGTCACTATAACATGCAATTTTATCATTTTCATTAAACTTCCCTCTGCTTTAGGGCCCCAATCTAACATAACCGTACCTGTAACATACCTGACCTAACACAACCGTACCTGTAACATACCTGACCTAACATAACAGTACCTGTAACATACCTGACCTAACATAACTGTCCCTGTAACATACCTGACCTAACAAACCGTACCTGTAACATACCTGACCTAACATAACTGTCCCTGTAACATACCTGACCTAACAAAACCGTACCTGTAACATACCTGACCTAACATAACAGTACCTGTAACATACCTGACCTAACATAACTGTCCCTGTAACATACCTGACCTAACACAACCGTACCTGTAACATACCTGACCTAACATAACTGTCCCTGTAACATACCTGACCTAACAAAACCGTACCTGTAACATACCTGACCTAACATAACAGTACCTGTAACATACCTGACCTAACATAACTGTCCCTGTAACATACCTGACCTAACAAAACCGTACCTGTAACATACCTGACCTAACATAACCGTACCTGTAACATACCTGACCTAACACAACCGTACCTGTAACATACCTGACCTAACATAGCTGTACCTGTAACATACCTGACCTAACTTAACCGTACCTGTAACATACCTGACCTAACATAGCTGTACCTGTAACATACCTGACCTAACATAACTGTACCTGTAACATACCTGACCTAACATAGCTGTACCTGTAACATACCTGACCTAACATAACTGTACCTGTAACATACCTGACCTAACATAGCTGTACCTGTAACATACCTGACCTAACATAACCATTCCTGTAACATACCTGACCTAACATAGCTGTACCTGTAACATACCTGACCTAACATAACCGTACCTGTAACATACCTGACCTAACACAACCGTACCTGTAACACATCTAAAAACTTGTACCAGCGCAACACGCACTAGCACAACATCACCACATCAGTGTCACTGCAGTGCTGAGAATGATCCACCACCCAAATAACCTGCTCTGTGGTGGTCCTTTGAGGGTCCTGACCACTGAAGAACAGGGTAACAAAGTACACAGAGAAACACATGGACTACAGTCTGTAACTGTAGAACCACAACGTGCTCCTATATGGTCAGTGGAGCTGATAAAATGGACAATGAGTGTAGAAACAAGTAGGTGGTTTTAATGTTATGGCAGATCAGTGTCATTTAGAATAGTTTATTAAAAAAATAAACATGTACAGTATATCTAATATGTATTTTTATGGGGCCCTTGGATCAGGGGGCCTCTAGGTGGCTGCTTACCTCTGCCTAATGCAACGACCACCCCTGATTGTTTGACTGGCATAAATCACAAGCCAGGCTTGATTCTGCATCTACTACGAAATGACTGAGCATGAAACGTTCACTGAATTCTCTGCAACACATTTCTGAGGCAATTTTCTCCGGCAGGATGAGCAGGACAACAAGGCACCGATGGACACAAAGGCCACGATGCTCTGCACTTACTTGATAAGCTTGGCGAATGCCCCCATTGTCCGCAATATTCTCTCCAAGCGTGTTATTCCCATTCAGCTGCTCATACAAAGGACAGGAGAGCGACAGAAAAGAGGAAAAAAAAGAGAAAATGATGAGAAAAGACAGAAAATAACAGTAATTTGAAGCTCTTTCTACTTCTTCTGAAAAATCGCAGCGTACTCGAGTTCCAGGAACGCGATTTGAGAAGACGACAGAAAAGAGCGCTGTTAACGGCTCAGCAGAAGGCGGCCGAGACACACTGACACAGACACAGACAAGAGGACCTGCTATAGCAACAAGAGCTGGAGTTCAAGAAAGTGAATATTTTTAAACCTTTTCAATTTTACCACAAACTTTTGCTCCAAATATGCGGCTTCAATATTATTAGGCTTTCTTACCATTGTCACTGTTAAAAACAGCTTTTTCTATTAATCCTTATTTATAAGCATTTATTCTGGAGTTTTTCTGCAATAACTTTGAATGACTTTGATGTTTTCTGTTCTTTATACCACTTTCTTTTAATTTTGAAAATGAATACATGTTACTTTCTACAAAGCAAAAAATTTGCTTGAATTTTGCCTTTGATTATTTATTTAACTTCTTTTTGATTTAAAAATCGGTTTGATTTCATTTCTTAAGGGTTCAAGCTGCTTTTTAAATGTATGAATTCTGTCATACTGTCAGAAAAATAGAATTTAAAAACAAAAGACTGGAGCCAAGATAGAACTTAACTGGATTGATTGATTGATTGATTGATTGATTGATTTTTAAATTTTACTCTTATTCTACTTAAATTGTACTAAAAGAGAACTGTACAATTATGACATAATTACATAACATACTAAATACCTAACTACATGTAATAAATGTGATGTTTGTACCCAAACAAAGTACCTTTTTTCATGCAGCATATATAATCGAAAACAAAAATATGGACAAATTCCATATTTTGTTGATTGTATACTTAAAAAAAATTAACTACAATGTACAATGCATTTCTTACAACGTGCTAGTAAATCAGTGTAGAGTCTTTGAGTTGCCATCAGCATTTTCCAATCATACGAAAGGATATCTTAAGTTAAGGGGGCTCCAGTTCCCCTGTGTTAAAATGACAATGTAATACCAAAATAATTATGATGGAAGGTCAGCACAAGCTTTAGATGGTTCAAAATGACTGGACCCTGATTTGGAAATAGGTCTGATGGTCTTCCTGAGGGTAGATATGAGTTGATGGAACGTTTTTGTCAATGTTTTACAACATGCGAATTTAGAATCATGGGTGGAAAGCGGCAGGAGAAAATGTGGATTGATAGTTTGGTAACACTTTATTTGGAGTGGTCCGTTGTAGATGATTAATAAACTCTTAACAGATTATCAGTAACACATAAACAGCATATCAGTGAAGTAGTAAATATGTTGTAGATGTGCTGTTGATATATTACTTACATTAGTATTGTTAGTGTTACTTCCATTACCCAAAACCTAACCCTAGCCCTCATATGCTTTTGACATGTTACCTGAGTGTTTGGGACCACTCAGGACCACTTGAAATAAAGTGTCACTGATAGTTTAAGCCTTTTTTAAAATGCAGCGATCAAAAGTAGCTTTCAACAAATTTACCCGTTATTCTATATGATTGTGCTCTCATTGAGTCACTGAATGCAGAATAGATAATATAACACCGTACATTCTGTCCGCTTGCCAGGTCCCAGGAGAAGCTGCTGTACTGGCCCACGATACATTTGGACAGATCCTGGAAATTCTGAGTGGAGGATGGAGTCCACCAGTCCTTCAGATCTCCATCTTTATCAAAGTTACGCCCTGTTGGAGTACAAGTCATTAGCATGATGTATAGTAGCTGAGGCAGGACTGAGTTTTGGATGTGCTTTATAAATCTGCAGGTAGGCCTGGCTGATCCAGGCAAACCATAATTGAGGTGTTTGCCAAGCATCATTCAAACAGTGCAGCAGGAGAGTAGGAGAGAAAGTCCACCAGAATATAAAAACTCAGAGCTCTTCTTTTATAATGACCAATATAACTTTTGGCAATTTATGCATTCAATGATAATGAGCTGGTAAATTACTGTCAAATGTTCAGACTTGGATAATAGTACTGACTGTGTTTGTCTAATGTAATATGACATGCTCACTATAAAACATTTCCAGAATTTCTACGATGATATGCTGTGTTTAAAGGTGCAGTGTATAAGATTTAGAGGGATCTATTAGCTGAAATTGAATATAGTATACAAAACTATGTTTTCATTAGCGTATAATCACAGGTAACTACAAAATGTGTCTTCGTTAGCTTAGAAAGAGCCCTTCATGTCTACACAGGGAGCGGGTCCTCTTCCAACAGAGGCTGCCGTGTTGCACCACCATGTTTCTATGGTAGCCCAGAATGGACAAACCAAACGCTGACTCTAAAGAGCACCTCTAATGTTTTTACATTGAAGCAGCAGCTTGATTTTGGCCATTGCACTGCTTGGAAGGTGTACAAAGAAAAAGAATCAGTGGTTACTGCCAGGGCAGGCTGACCATTTAGTGTTTGGAGAAGTTTGAGAATCCAAATTTTTATTATTTAGCACAAGAAAAAGCAAGAGAAGAGCAGAAACATGAAGGAGCAAAATGAAATTGGGACAAGCAATGGCAAAAAACAGGATAAACCCTGGTGGAGCCTTTCCAAGATGGAAGTCGCTAATAAAGAACAAATGTTTTCAGAGTGATGCAAAAGCTGCCTGTTTTCTTGCCGACGGTTATTTTAGCATACCAGTCTAAATGCAATGCACAGCCATAGGTTCTACTGAACATTTGGAAAGGGATGGATAAAGGAGGGGCATTCAGCTGGTTGCAATCTGCAGCCTCACCACTAGATGCCACCAAATCTTACACACTGCACCTTTAAGCTAGTCTGATGTTCCTGAGCTGCATTAATATCTATGAACTAGAGTAAATGCCACAAGTTTATGCTTAACTAGTGGTAAAGTTCTGATAGCATGCTAGGCGTCTGATAGCATGGTAGCTTACTGTGTACAACCTGTTCAAGTGAGTATATGAACTTTTTAATTTATTTTTTGTTTATGTTTTTGTTTTATTATTTATACATCATCATAGCAGATTTTTGCTCTGTAAGTATTACTTGTCTTTGTAAGTAACTGGTTATCAATGCTACGTTAATGCTCATTTCAGCTAGCTATGGGATTCAGCAGGGGTGTAGCCTGACCTGGGCCTCCAGGACTAAAGCCCTGAATATTTTTAAACAACCCCGAATCTAACATATCACACATTTCACTACGGCTCATTTGCACATCCATCTTATCGTCCATTGTTTCATTCAAGGGCACATTCACCCACTCCTCGAACTCCAGAGCTATTCCAACACGGCCACAGAGCAGATAGCGTGCTAGAGAGTGTGTGAGAGTGCACGAGAGTGCATGAAGTTTCTTTTTTAAAACAAAGAAAATCTACTACAGATTAAAATCACTTGTTAGAAAACAAGCCCAACTTAAGCCCAATTTTGTATATGAAATATAAAAATTGCAGAGATGGTATGCTTTGTTTTTGGTGTGTTTTTAATATTAAAATAATATATAAAATATTCATTCTAATTTACTGATATTCAGCATTTTTAAGTATCAGTAAAATAACTAAAAACAACAGATAAATAGCATCGTGTTAACAATTGCCAGTTAAATTTGGGTCATTTTGAGTGGGCTGATGATAAAAGTGGGTGGGCCTGCTTGAGGATATGCTGTTAGCTGCTTTTGTCCAGGAAATTCATGCATGTTTGTTCGCTACAGTAAATCAAACTAGACAAGAAAGCAAGCACCTGCTTAAGGAATCTTAAACCCTATTTTTACTTGTTTACAGAAGGCCATTAGGCATAATTGTACAGTGCATGTAAAACAAAACAGGTGTATTAAATCTCTACTGAGCTCCTGTACTTGTTATATCACAAAGTCAGCACTATCAGGCACAGAAGGGACCAGTTTTCTCACCATTATCGTCAAAGCCGTGGGTGATCTCGTGGCCAATCACCATGCCAATGCCACCATAGTTGAGTGCCCAAGGCTGGCCTTTACCAAAGAAAGGAGGCTGGAGGATTCCGGCAGGAAATACTGACAGAGCAGGAAAGACATTCAGTCAACCTTAACTTAAACAGTTCACCAATTCCAAAACTGCTTTTCATCAAATTTGCTTTCTTGTTACCTATTTGGTTTCTGCTGGATGAGTAGAACGCATTGACCACTGCTGCCCCTGAGATCCACCTTGGGTTAAAGGATGACACATTTCAAGTTAATGGAGTCCACATTCATGTTAATGTTTTACGACAGTTCTTCATTAATAAGGGTTTTATATAGCAGTGGCTAAACTTAGAGAATGACTTCCTATTTCTGAAAGAGCCATCTGTCATCAGTGTACATAGACAAGAAATGGCCAATTTTCCAGAAGCAGATTGGACTAAATTACACTCTCAGCAGGGACTTCATTTGTAGTCAAGGAGCCTTATTTATAAAAAATGCACTATAAGTTCTCACTGAATCATGTTATGTCCTGTTGGCTCTTTGGATTGAACCAGCGACCTTCCGTTTACGAGGCTGGTACCCTAACTTCTAGCCCACGACTGCCCCCAGTACTTATACACGAATTTGTCACATACAAAAATGTTCATACGTAAATATGACTTTTCATGTGTGACCATTATATGAAGGTTTCATAAATAAGGCCCCAGGACTAAGCCTAATCTGAGACTGGAAGTCAAAAAGGCAAGAAGTCTCTTACTCTTCTTTGTTCACTTTCACCCTCAACCTCTTCAGTCGTTTCTTCTGACCAAACTCCAGATTCTTCAGGATGTTCTCAAAGTACTCTTCTGATTTGTACTCCAGCTGGCAATGTTGAAAAGGGTATTTGCAAAAAGACTCTTAATTTGAAAAAGCATTTTTTCCCTTCTTTAAAAATAAAGGCTTGGTTTATGACCTTACTAAGTGGAGGTTTCCTAAAACTACAAAAGTTTTTCACGCTTATAATTTCACTCAAAAAGGTCAAAGACTTAAGGCTGTTTGAGATCAAAAGAGAAGTCCTACCCAGAGTACAGTGTACCTAATAAAGTGCTCGGTGAGTGTAGTTAGAACAGCTGATGAGTAATTGCCTATGTATGACTGACTATAACTTCTATGAGCACTTGTCTACCACAAGTCTGCTACCATGGTCTTGATTTGGCACAGTACTAGTTTCTCTTAGTGCATGCAATAATATTGTCCCATTGTGCAGCCCTGACATAATCTGTTGAGAGAACTTATGCCAGCAAATGACATCTGCCATGGTGTTTATGGCATAGTTTTGGCAAAGTTATGTAGCAGGGTTCAAGTAAAGTGTCACCAATATATCTCAAGTTCAAATAAAAGCTGACATTTTACTGTCTGATTTATGCAGACTGTTGTTTTTTTGCTTATCTATATTACACCAGCTAGTATCTTCTGTTTCCTGCTGTGGTTCTAACTTACGTCTTTATATTCCTCATCCAAGTACGTATTGTTCTTGATATTTTCCGAGAACCCAATTCTCTCTCGAATGGCTCGGGCCTGCAAGGAGTAAAAGTAAATATGAATCATCGACTTGTTTACTGAAAGTTCCACAAAGGCTGTGGTTGTTAGTGCTAAATCATACTGATTGCATTACAGGAACCTTGAACTCAGCAGCTGATGTTATCAAATGACAACTTCCATCACCATCTGCACAGCATTGTTTACGTTAAGCTTTCATTTGAGAAGCAATGATGAAGAACGAACTAACAGTGAGGGAGGGAAAGTGCTTAAATTAACCCCTGACACAGATCAGATTTGACTGAATGAGGCAGTTGAGGTATTATATTTTGTGCACAGGATCTTGCTAAGACATCATAATGACCAACTCACCTTCTCCTCAGCTGCTTTCTTGGTTTCGTCGTCCATCCAGGTGAGGTCATGAAGGTTGCTCACAAACACCTCTCTGATGTTGGCAATCATCTCATCCATCTGAGCCAATCAGAGAACAGCATACATTACATTAAAGCGGTTTTACCACAGTTAAAGGGTGTTGTTAGGCAATGCAAAGCATGATAAAGTTCACAATTTTCTGTTAAGAATTTAAAACTAACCATTCTTCCAGCAAGCAATGTAGTTCATTAAGAATAGGTTATGGTTGCCAAGCGACTCAACAATCAACAAGATTATTCTATTATAAGGTTGATGGTTTTTTAACTTGGTACATAAATACAAATTTAATACAACTGTTGTGTCCAGTTTGTTGATGTGTATGTATATTGAGTACGGCTTCAAACATAGCTCAGCCAATCGGAGGTAAACAAAGTCATTTAAAGTGATTTGATGTGAAACGCTCCATCCTAGAGAAACTAACAGAATCACAATTGTTTCCAGTGGTGGTCATAGGAACGTCTAAAGAGTTTAATGTCTCTAAACGCTCCCTCACAGAAAGTTATTATGTAAAACGGTTATGAATATGCCTGATGTTTGAGACATTCTCAACTCAAGACATGTGTAGGTTCACTGGTTGTTTTGAACAGTAAACAAAAATGGCTGATTTCTGTTGTAAACATTGTGACCCCTGGTTCCTATCGTCACTGTAGAGAAATCTGAGTGGATATTTTTTTCTACAATGATCCATTTCACACCAAACCACCCTGAATGACTCTGTTTACATCTCAAAGACAAAATTATATAAAACTTTGGGAAAATTTGAGCTTCCTTTTAACATACCAGTCTCCATAATCCAGTCTAAAACTCAAACAGCCTTTAATTAAAACATTCTTAAACCGTCTCATTTTGTCTTATTGGATGAGCGTGAACTGATTTTATGCAGGGGACTGATTGGCTTGTAATGTTCGAAAAAAAAAAAAGCTCGAGACAAAAGAGGAAATAAAGAGTGATGAAGAGACAAACATTCTACAGGGGTCTTATTCTATTCCAGCTAAGAAAACAGAGTTTGCAAAAAGAAGGACAGGAAGCACACATTGCAGCTGCATCATGCCTTTGTTCTCACCAGTGTTTTCTTATTTGGGATTTTTCTCAGGTAAGAACAGAATCTACATATTCAAGAGCACAAAGGTGTATCTGGCATAGACTCTTTGTTAGGACCCTTTACAAGATTCATGTTTCCTTCCAGGACATGTAAACGCCCCAGTACTGTTTGCGTAGAAGCTGGCCCCATATCATGATGCTCCCACCCTCATACTTCACTGTGGGTGTTCTTGGAATCATATGTGTGACCCTCTTTCTTTCTTTCTTTCTTTCTTTCTTTCTTTCTTTCTTTCGTCTGACCAGAGTACATTGCTCTCTAACAGTTCTGATATGTCTAAATGCTTGTGTGGACATTTTAGATGGACATCTCTGTGCTTCTTTTTGGTGAGGGGTATCATCCAGCAACTTTCTAAGTGACTTCTGGCTTTTCTCTTACCATCCTGAGAGAAATCTTGTTCTCTGTCTGTTGTGGTTCCATGAACTTTTCACTTGGATATTGTTGAACCAGTTGTTCTGGCAGATGTTGAAAGTCTCTGTATTTTTTCCTTTCAACACTCTTAGCAAAAAGAGCTGTATATAGTACCTGAAAGTGCTTCTCTGACTCTTTTTCAAAAGGGATCTGTGATGTACAACATGTTTCCATCGCAGACAAAAACCATTCGATCATGCAAATTATCTTTTTTTGTGTTCAAAAGGTCCTTTATGTGTTTTTATATAGAACCACTACCTTTACTCATGAACCCTTGAAGAACGGAAGCTCCTTCAACTTCACCATGCTTGCAATCAATGGCAGTGTCTTTCATAATGACCCCAGGTGCAATTATGCAGCATTAATGTGTGGAACTACATCAGGCCCTGAGAGTAACCAAGAAAAGTGAGTGGGATGTACAAAGTCCTGTCATATGAATATATGTGGTGGTAAAAGGGCAGATGTCGGTTTGTTGAGATGGATGGGACTTTTATGTCACATAAAACACATTGCTGAGTAAACAGACAATCGAGTAGTGCCCTATCTTATCTTGAGTAGTGTCTTAGCCTGGAGCAGCGAGCTATACTGACTAATGCTCTCACTTTGAACTTCCCCACCATATCAGTAAAAATATAGTGTAGAGTTTACGTCAGTGCCGTAGTGTTTTGTTTACATTTCTCAAAGGATTTCACGTGGCTCCCAGCGTAGGTGCCGGTTGAAACAGCAACTAGGAACCGAGCCAAGACTTGACGGAGACAGAGAGGAGATTACGGGAGAGTTTAGGCTTGTATATTTCTCTTAACACCGTTCCTTATCACACGGGGATAAGCTGTCACTTTAAATGTTATGAATTGCGCCGACGTGCTGTTAAGCGCGCAGTGTTCTTTGTCACCGGTTCAAAGGCGATTGTAGGCCACTATATCAATCCTAAAATAGCTGCGCATGCCTGGACTGCATTTGGAACCCGAAAGTCCTGCACGATCTATCGCTTATGATGGTGTACTACTTCATATCATGGGGTTGTTTTGATTGGACTCTCCTTCTCCAATTCGTAAAACCACTGGCAGCAGTTCAGACCTGGCAGTGTTCACCTTTAATGGAGGCCTGCATGTGGATATCTGTACTGATCCCCATGTGACCGAAGACATGGATGACAAGGATGGAGGGGTTGCAGCCAAAGGTGGCTTACAATTTGGCCAAAAAGAGGTCATTTGATCTCTTAGACACGTTCCCAAACCACACGCAAACAACAGAATATCCCATTACAGTGTACATGCTCTTACACATGCATCCAGGAGAACAGGAGAACACTTAAACCCCTTAAATACTCAGGCTTCTCACGTTTCACAGTGGCAGTGATAAGAACCAAATGTCTAAAGCATTTATGCCTCTTAAAAGTACATTTTTTGCATGCCATGGTTATGAATTTGCTGTTTGATGCCTGAGACACTGTTTTATGAGAGGCAGACAGGCACATGAAACACTCAATTTTAGCATCATACAAGCATTTTTTTGGTAATACTTTACTGTAGGGTAGGCTACTGTTTACTGTTCATAAGGCTTATCATGACAACTGATATAACCCTACATAAATGTTTATAAAGGCTTATTCCAATAGACGTCATCTGTCATACAGGCTACTTTAGCTAACTTTGATCAAAACTGGCAAATGTAACCTTTATAGTGAATGATGCCTTTTGGAATGAGCATTTATAAACATTTACATCAGTTGTCATGACATGCTTATGTAGATGTCATGTAGCCTTATGAACAGGACCCTAGTGCAGAGGTCGGCAACTCAAATGTTCAATTTTATTGAAATAACGTTTTACCATGCTGGCTGTAAATATGTCAGTATGTACTAATGCAGGCTAAAAATATAATAAATAAACAGACTGATGTTGCTCTGCTTTAAGCTTTAGCTCAGTTATAACCACTTTTCTTGCATCTCCGGCAGGAAACCTTTCCGCAAAAGTAGAATAGTTTCTTGTAAAATGTCTCTTAACGTTTGACTTTTTACGAGGCTGAGGTGAGCTTCTCATTCTTTTTGTTCGAATTTTCCCGTGCCACCTTAAATGGTGCAGCAGTTACATTCTGGCGCCTCAGGCACCATTTAAAAAAAAAATCTGAACAAGAAACTGACTTCAGTTTCGCAACTTTTTAGTCTTTGACAGTTTCTCCTTGCAGATTAAACTTGTCAGAAAACCAGCTGGAGTGATTATAAATGCAAATAAGTCCATTCGTCTATGAATTATCAATTCGTATGAATTATCGGTTCATATTAAATCTTTCTCTTTGCCTTTTCGTTAGCTACTAGGTGAGACTGGTGTCTGTGTTGCTATGGTGACCAGCAGTCTGCATGCTAACCTTCAGGGCTAAAGACCATTTATTGTTAAAACTGTGTTGAACGATCAGCAGAGCTTTATTTTACTGCCAAGGAGGATTATTTAATTTTTATCTAAAAATCTAATTCTGCTGTGGAGCCGCAACAAGGCAGTAAAAAAGCTCCAGAGTGGCAGGTTGCCAACCCCTGCCCTAGAGTAAAGTGTTATCCTTTTTTGAAACTATATTTTACACTATTCCCTGAGACTTAGATGTTAATATATAAGTAAGATAATAAAGTGAGCTGTTGCTAGTTTAGCTGCTTGGCTAAGCCTTGCAAAACACTTCAACCACTCACCTTTAGAGATTTGTTTACCCCAACTTTTACTTTGAACTTCAACTTTGACTACAAGATATCAGTGGAGGATTTTACGGAATATTTATTTATGAGCACCCATATATACACTGATCAGGCATAACATTATGACCACCTCCTTGTTTCTACGCTCATTGTCCATTTTATCAGCTCCACTTACTATATAGGTGCACTTTGTAGTTCTACAGTTACAGACTGTAGTCCATCTGTTTCTCTGCATACTTTGTTAGACCCCTTTTACCCTGTTCTTCAGTGGTCAGGACCCCCATGGACCCTCACAGAGCAGGTACTATTTGGGTGGTGGATCATTCTCAGCAATGCAGTAACACTGACGTGGTGGTGGTGTGTTCGTGTGTGCTGTGTTGGTCTGAGTGGATCAGACACAGCAGTGCTGCTGGAGTTTTTAAACACTGTGTCCACTCACTGTCCACTCTATTAGACACTCCTACCTTGTCAGTCCACATTGTAGATGTAAAGTCAGAGACGATAGCTCATCATTTGACTATTCTCAGTCCAGCAGTGACTCTGAGGTGTTTAAAAACCATGGGTCCATGGGGGTCCTGACCACTGAAGAACAGGGTAAAAGGGGGCTAACAAAGTATGCAGAGAAACAGATGGACTACAGTCTGTAACTGTAGAACTACAAAGTGCAAGTGGAGCTGATAAAATGGACAATGAGCGTAGAAACAAGGAGGTGGTCATAATGTTATGCCTGATCGGTGTATATAGAATATATAGAACCTTTACATCAAACCCTTAAAAAGTTCTTTACACTCATAATTCTCTTTTCAAACATGGTTATTTTGGGAACCAAAAGTGGTTCTTCTGACAGAACTCAAAGAATCTTCTGTGACACCTCACTGAAGAGTGTACAAGGAAAAAAATGCAATGATCAAACTCAGAAATGCATTTTAGTCCAGGCTTAAAAGCTTAGACTTAATCTGGGTCTGGGGAACTGGCCCAAAAGTATTAAACAGATGGTGAAAGCTATTGTCTCATGCCCTGTAATTGACTATGTGCCAAGTAGATTGTCGTTTGACATAATAAGCTCCTTGTTAAAATGATGAAATGCAAACAGGTCTGTCACCAGCAAGAAAGTCAAATATTAACAGCAGCATTTTACAGCCCCACAGCGATGATTAACCCCAGTGCTTCTGTAAGGTTTTTAATTAAGGTACTTGTGTACTTAAGGTGGACATGGGTTATTCTCCATTTGGAGTGGGAAACCATGTTGCAGGTCACAGGGTTTAAAAAGATGCTAAAATATTAGGCACAGCTCCAAAGGTCAGTAGGTACATTTACACAGTTGACCTAATATTAAATAATACTTTTCCCTTATGATTCTCTGATTTTTCATAGTCGCTCTGCATCTGTAAAACAGCTCATCACAAAACCAATTTTCAACCATTTTTAATATAAAACAATATAATATATATTAAAAGGTTTAACTTTGGAATTTGTATAAAACAGATTCATTTTTAATTTTCATATCATTAATGTTATATTACATTTTTATTTTATATTAGATTGTCGTCACTGATATTATCAGGACTCTTATATTTTAACACAGTATTTTCAGCTCTATTAAACTGCTTCTTTGGGTTGAGGCTTATCAGAGAGGAAGTGTCTCAATGCATGAGAAGGTGAGTCACACTCTCTCACTATGTGTCACAGGTGTTATGTGCTTTAATCTGGGTAATTAAAATTTTGTCAAAATAATGTCAAATATATAATTTTTATTACTCATTTTAATACACAAGGTCACCTGACCACCAATGAGTCAATTTACAAAATGCTCAGTTTTAACCAGAATGTCAGTGGAGTCATAGTCACTGGTTATACCATATTCATACAACACCAGTGACTGTAACATATGTTTGGAATTAAGCTCTCCTATTTGCATATATTATAACAGGAGATGTTAATGGACATATTAAGATTGTTTAGTTTTGGGATGAAAGAAATTGATTTTTTAAAAATGTAGCCACCTGAATTCCCACTCCAAGGAAAAGACCACCTGACATTTCGCACTAAAATACGTTTTCTCACTGTAATCTGACTACATCAGTATTACAGTGAAAACAACAGACACTCATATACACGTACACATGGACATGCCAGCTGTACTTGTTAAGATGTCTACACTCTGGAAAAATGGACACATATAGACGTATGCTACAGCAGGCCACGTCCGCTGCCCAGTCGAGAGGCCCAAAGGGGCCGGGTGATTAACGGGGTGTTAAGGGCTGTAGTTTACGACAGGTGCAGCAGATCCACCGCTCAGCTTCTCTTACAAGAATACGAGGAAACGTACGAGGAAAACATGAGCCCTCACATGACTGCGTGTGCTGCAAAGCCATGCGCTCCAAGAACTCTAAATCCTGCCTAGGCTGTCGTGGGCATTCACAAAATATAGACGGCTAAGTGAGCTCTCCCATGAACAGGAGTTCTATCCAGGTATGTCCTCGGCCGAGGCAATAAATTAATAATGATGAAACGGGACTCACCATGTCCTTGCTGTCTCCAGCGAAGGCCTCCTCCACATACAGCCTGCCCACAGCGTTCTCCATGTTGTTGTTGACGTAGATGGCACACTGTCTCCACACTGCTGCCTCTGAGGTGGTACCAGAGATAGCCTGAGAGAGGAGAGTGTGAAGGAGGATGTAGGAGTGAAGAGAGAAAGGGAAAAAGGAAGAAAGAGGAGAAGAGAAAAAAAGAGAAGAGAAAAGAAGAGAAGAGAAGACATAAGAAGAGAAGAGAAGAGATGAGATGATATAAGAAGAGAAGAGAAGAGAAGAGAAAAAGAGGAGAAGAGAAAGAAGAGAAGAGAAGAAGAGGAGAGATTGAATAAGAGCAAAAAAAGAGAAAAACAGAAGAGAAGATGAAAAGATGAGAAAAGAAAAAGAAGAGAGGAGAACATAAAAAAGAAGAGAAGAAGAGATCAGATGAGAAAAGAAAATGAAAAAGTAGAAGATGAGAAGAGAACAGAACAGAAGAGAAAAAGGAAAGAGAGAGAAGTGACAAGAGAAGAGAAAAGAAAAGAAGATATAAGAAGAGAAGAGAAGAGAAGAGAAGAAGAGAAGATATAAGAAGAGAAGAGAAGAGAAGAGAAGAGAAGAGAAGAGATGAGAAGAGAAGAAGAGAAGAGAAGATATAAGAAAAGAAGAGAAGAAGAGAAGAGAAGAGAAGATATAAGAAAAGAAGAGAAGAGATGATATAAGAAGAGAAGAGAAGAGATAAGAAGAGAAGATATAAGAAGAGAAGAGAAGAAGAGGAGAGATGATATAAAAGAGAAAAGAAGAGATAAGAAGAGAAGAGAAGATATAAGAAGAGAAGAGATGATACAAGAAGAGATGAGAAGAGAAGAAGAGGAGAGATGATATAAGAATAGAAGATATAAGAAAAGAAAATATAAGAAGAGAAGAGAAGATATAAGAAGAGAAGAGAGGAGAAGAGAAGATGAGAACAGAGAAGAAGAGAGGAGAAGAGAAGAGAAGAAAAGAGAAGAGAAGAGAGGAGAAGAGAAGAGATTATATGAGAAGAGAAGATATAAGAAAGAAAATACAAGACGAGAAGAGAAGAGAAGAAAAGAGAAGAGAAGAGATTATATAAGAAGAGAAGAGAAAAGAGAAGAGAAGAAAAGAGAAGAGAAGAGAGGAGAAGAGATGATATAAGAAGAGAGGAGAAGAGAAGAGATTATATAAGAAGAGAAGAGAAAAGGGGAGAAGAGAAGAAAAGAGAAGAGAAGAGAGGAGAAGAGATGATATAAGAAGAGAGGAGAAGAGAAGAGAAGAGAAAAGAGGAGAAGAGAAGAAAAGAGAAGGTAAGAGAGGAGAAGAGATGATATAAGAAGAGAAGAGAGGAGAAGAGAGATGATATGAAGAAAGAATGATGGAATGAAGTGCTGATGGCAGATTTCCAGTCAGTAAAACAGCTCACTGTCCACTGTTATTGATCTGCATCATCATTCATTTTAACCAAAATTTCTTTTCACTTTGAGAGAGAGAGAGAAAGAAAACAACACTGACTTTTCTGAAAGCTTTCCTGGTATCTCTGTACGGTCTGCTCAAGCCAACCACCATGTTCATGGCAAACCGCCACACCATGTAGTTCTGGATATCTCTGTGAATGCACACACAAAAACACAGTGGCTTTAGGTCAACTACCATCTCTTCATACTGTGCAGGGTAGTGCAGCAGACAGAAATATCTTTGCTGGCAACAAAAAAATTATAATAATAAATAAATAAAAACAAGAGGCATTGCAATCAACTGGTCTCCAGAAAAAAGTTATAAGTTCTCCCTACCCCTGAGGTCAAAAAAAGGCAAAGACTTTCAGTTCATGGTGTACAACACTCTCCAGTCCATACAGGCAAATAATCCACCCGTTTTGAATTTACTGTGGTTGTGAGGTCACAACCATCAGCTCATTCACATTTGAAAAAGGTTCATGAATTATGACTGTTTTTGGTACAAACAACACACAAACATTGTAAGCGGAAAGGCCAAGACTATCAATTCATGGTGTTAAGACTTGTGTACAACAACACCATCTACTTCACACACACACAAAAAAAAAAACACTCTAGAAATGCTTAACACACTCAAGGTAATGCTTAATAACATAGTAATAATCAGACTGTTAATTACCAACTACTGTTTTGACTCGACTTATTAAGTGCATTACAAGTGCTCTAGAAAAAGGTTTTGTTCAGCTATGTTACTACTTAGTAACATAGTTATAAGCAGACCGATAATTACCAATTTCTCTCGTAAATAAAATTAATAAATGCATTACAAGTACTCTGGAAAAGGCCTAATTTAGCTCAGTTACTGTTAATAACATAGTAATGACAAATAAGAACCCAACATTTTGATGCACCTTATCACCCTCAGCCCCTGGATCACATTACATTAGGGTTACACTGAACAATTCAGGTTAATATGTTCTCCAGGACCACCCTTAGGCACCCTTTCTGCAGACCCCTTTACTGTTTGAAGGGGGTTTCTGAATAACTCACCTCTTTGTGTACTTGATCAGGACTTGGTTGAGCTTCTTCAAGTAGTTGGGGGCATAAACGATCACTTGCTCAGTGTCTGTGATTGGAATGTTGACCGTATGCATGATCTTATTGGTGAAGAGGGTCCAGTTGAACACCTGAATGGGGCGAGGAAATTTTGAAAGTTTGTGTAAACTGAAGAAGAATCTGTAGAATTCTGTGAGGGGAAATGTAGGTCACTGATAAAGTTAACAAGCCAAAATACAGCCAAATGTGTGCTGATTTCGTAATTGAAACTTTGCCTTTAATAAGCAAGCTAGTGGTGAATCTTCTCATCGCTGCTGTCGGAAGAAAACCTTGTATCTCCATTTTTGTTGTTTTTCGGTTTTTGACATAATTTTAAAACACCTGTTGTCCTTTACATTGTCTATAAATTTCATGAAGAATGAACTAAAAGAAACGGCCCAAAATGACTTGGGAAAATGTCTGGTTCCATTGACTTACATTAAAATTAAAGTAGGTTTTTTCCTTCTCCTGTAAAGTTACCATTTTGGAGATATGGTGTTTTCTTCCAACAACAGCGTCATGCTTACTGTAGCGTGTTATGAGTAGGTAACACAATATAACTTTCATTTTTCATCTAACCACTCATATACCCAACTACAGAGCTTGTAGCTTGAAACTACACAGCTAGGCCAAAGCATGCTGATTCATGATTATGAGTTGTCCAAACAAAAAAAAAAACAAATTACAGAGTTAGAATTTGTTCATCATAACTATATTGTATGTCACCATATAGTATTTGTATTGCATAACTAAGGAAGTCAAAGCTGCTGTGGGTAGTGTAGCGATTTCGTACAGAGATAAACATAGCGGGCGGTTCAGTCGATGGCCAAACCAAGGCTATTCTGAGATCATCTGAGAATCCAGTCACTGCTGATTGGGCCTTGTCGATATTGTTCACTACTGAATCTCAGAAAACACCTCCAAAACTACTGAGGACCTAACTTAAGCTAGTTACGAATATGACAGTTGCTAATAATGAACTGAAGGCTTGAGGCAAAGTCGAATAGCAACGGCTGCTAAGCGGTGATTGGAGGCCCTCTTGTGCTTTATTGCTTCTATATAACAGTTTCGCAAAGTAAAGAGTAAATTCCTGAACACTGTTTTAAATATTTATGTTTATATGTTTGTCAAAACAACAAAAGTCATGATCATAATTTGTAGCATCCATTTGCGTGTGGCCGGTACAAAAGCTAAGGCACATTTTATTTCTTTCCTATGTATTAAACTCAGCAAATCGTGCAAAATGCCATATTTAAATTTGGTTCCATGAAGAGGATTCATTAACATATTTTCACTTAAAATATCAACAAAACATATGATTTGACTGAGAGTGTTCGAACACTTTGCATATGACTATAGATAAAAAATAATAATTCTGATAAGTTCAATAACTGAATAAATGTGAAATTGGTTGCATTTCGCAGTGTAGTGACATGGAATTTCCCAATTCCAATGCACCCATATCTGTATCCTTTTATTAAATAATTGCTGGCTGGTAGCTTTAAACATCATGTACCCACCCAGAAAAAAAGACTTTAAAAGAAGCTCAAGGCTTATTCAAGTACTTTTTTTTTTTGCAGCCCAGAACTTTGGCAGAACTCACGGGAGAATCAGTGTTGTTGATGCGGACGGCAGCTGATGTAAAATTCTCTTCTCTGGTTTCAGAGATTTGCTGTAAAACCCAGCAGGAATGTTTTATTCTAAAAATCAATCAAAACTGTTGTTCCCGCAAAGAGGTACAAGCATCTTACTGTGGATTCGAACTCCAGCGTGAAGTTGGTGTTGAGGGTCTCCAGGGGCATCTTGTTGTAGAGCAGAACAGGATTGTTCCTGTCTTCTGGCGTGTCTGTGGCCTGAGGGAGCAAGTGTCAGGAAATAAGAGAGGAAGGACTGAAATGCTGAAAGAGATATAAAAGATTTTGGTGATTACTGACATCTATTGTATCTACTTTAAGTGTGGCCTTAAAAGATGTGGAAGTCATTAACAACTCCCAGCGCTGCCTGTCTCTGAGCACCACTCATCACTGTGCCATTTACATATACAAATACGTAGGATGCCAAAAGGTGACCACAACAATCGACAGTAAAACATGTGAATTGAAATTATGTATCGTGAAGGACAATAAGTCAAATATTTAAAAGGAGCAAGTCACTTTCACCACAGCTGGGTTGGCCTAATAGTAGACATCTTGAAGCTACAAGACAGCTTCACAATCTTAAAGAAACAGTTTGTAAAGAGCCAGTTAGCTGTAGTTAAGTGATTTTCAGCAGTATTATTTAATCAAATATATATGAAGTCATGACTGAACCATGACTATTAAGGCGAAGCCTTCAGGTCAGGCCATAAATGTCAAAATGCAGTCAAAAAAGAGAAAACCCAAGGCTAATTTCTGCTAGGTTTCTAATAGTATGTCAGCACTAAGCTAATACTTGTGCACATGAACATAATACAACCAGTCTAGATTAAACTTAGACATTTTTAACTTGTAAAAGACATTTCAAATGTTTTACTTGCAGCTTGCGACAGGGATTAACATAGATTTTACCTCGTATGTATCAGTTTTACAGTGACTCTTTCACTAAAGACTCTTAGCACAGAGCTGCCGCCACTGCTTTTCACTCCAAACAACTTGAGTGAAACCAGGTTAGACTACTTGTATTCGCAGTCAGTGACATATTTAGAACTTCCAAAAGGGCTAATGTGGCTTTTGCTCTCACAAAATTGGTCTCAGGCATTGGAAATCATAATCGGTTGATTCCACTGTCATTTCCTAATTATGCTGGAGCCGAATGTGTTGTGTAAGGCCTTCAGTTTAGCTCCTGAAGTCCTAACCAATGAGAGAGCTCATTAGGCTGTATGTACCTGGATATTACAGAGAAAACAAATCCTGTTTGGACAATTTTTGGGTGGCTATTTCAAGATCTTAAGCAAAGCGTAACGATATCTAGAAGGTTCTCAGGGTTCTGCATTGATGAGTTTAGTGCAAAATTAGAACTATAAGTAAATAAAATAGTTCTATATAGAACTATGAACACTCAACTCTTTGCATGATTAAAGAGTTCTTTGCATCACAAATTGGTTCTTCAGATTGACGGAAAATGTGCTGTAGATGGTTGTATATAGTTTTTTTTTTAGGTAATCTTTTTTGAAAAAGGTTCTATATAGCACCAAAAAGGGTTCTTCTATTGTTAATATGTCAAGCTTTTAATAACAGAAGAACACTTTTTGGTGCTAAATAGAGCCATTTTCAGTAAGGCTCTATATAGAACCATCTACAACACATTCTCCATCATCTAAAGAACCTTTTCACAATGCAAAAAACGCTTTAATCATGCAAAGTCTTCTTTGAGTTTTCAGGGTTCTATATAGAACCATTTCCTTTACTGAAGTAACTCTTGAAGAACTCTCTTTTTTAAGAGTGTAGGACATGTTGGCCATTTTATTGTAATTTAGTTAAACTGTCTAACCCAAAATAATTACCTAGTACCTCGGAGTTTGTACCTCACACTCACCTGGTTAATACAGAGAAGCTGAGGGGCTGTAAAAGAAAGCATTGCCTTTATGGCCATAACTACGACTTTTCAGAGTTAATGTTTTATGATCAGGTGACGGTGAGCATCCACTGCACACTATGAACTGCAGCAGCTTGGCTATTAAGCTCTAATAAAGCTATAATTCAGTCTGTGTTAGTACGTGCACGTTCATAGCGCACGCCGACGACTCTCGGGCACAAAGTGTGCTTAGAGTGCACAGAGTACAGAGTTAGAGAGCTGCAGTTCGCCTGTGACATCACCTCCAACTCGAACAAACAGCTTTACAAGGCCTGCACTCCACACACTGTAAATGTCAGGACAGTCACGTGATCTCTGAATAATAAAACACAGCAGCATTACCGCATGTGGTGGGAAAACATGTCGCTGATTTTAGGACACAGATCTGATGACTTACAGCCTTTGGCGATTGTTTCAGTGCAGAGCACACACTGAACGTAACAGGCCGAATAAAAACACACTGTGCTGTTTTCCGTTATGAACCCACCTCATTCTTTAAGAACTTTTTGAACAAAATGATTGGTGTTTATTTATATATCCCTGCTGTTGGAAGAAAATCTCAAATCTTCAAAATGGTAACTTTACAGGAGAAGGAAAAAACATCATTTTCTTTCAATGTAAGTCAATGGAACCAGACTGTTTTCCAAGTTATTTTGGGCCATTTCTTTTGGTCCATTCATCCTGAAATTTACACACAAACTATGTCTAAAACTGAAAAACAAAAATGGAGATACAACGTTTTTGTTCCAACAGCAGCGATATATTTGTTTGGTCAGCTTTAGACTTTAAACATTTCACAATTGTCATTCTATACATAAAGTTAGTAACATTGCATAAAATGTAATAACATAGCTAGTTCTACAATTAATTACAATTACATTTGTAATTACATTTATTTTCAAACAGGGTGCCCAAACATTTTGCTTGAGGCCTTCAATGTAATATTTGTGGTGGTCAGAGGACCAGAAGGACAAAGTAGCTAGCTAACAGCTCATTAGCATTGTTTTCATGTATTGCCGTATACATGGAGAAGCTGTATTCTTTACATAATCCTGTAGGATTCCTTCATATAAAACAAACTGCCTTGACTTTAAATTCCATCTTCACACTGGTGGTCTCTAAATCTCCTCTTGTCCATGGATCACCACCTGTTACATTCGATAAACTCATAACTGCTAGCCGCACAATTGTTGTTTTATCTGTGCTGCAATGACTATTATATGATGTTGCGTGTTATAGTTTTTATGTGTTATTTTGTTGTCAAAGTACTTAAAAATAAAAATTAACAGAAATTTAAGAAGCTAAGGAATGAGTTACATGTTCTCTCATTGGCTGAGAGAGTGGAGGTTTGGGCAACTTTCCGGTGGGCCAAATCAAACATCTTTAAAGGCCAACTTTGACCATTGGGCCCCATTTTGGGCAGCCATCTTTTGTTTTAACAAGTTAGAATCAAGTTAGCAATGTTTTCTGAATGACTTTGCCTGCTTGCTAAGAAATGTTGCTGTGCGTCCAAAAATAAAAGGCAGATAGAATGCTTGTGTATGTCTGTATGTGTGTTTAGTAGTGCAGTTCTAAATGTATCCAGTAGGTGACAATAATGTAGTAATAGTGTAAAACGTGACTTCATTTTTTTATCTTTATTGGCCACATGGAAAACAGTGGCCAATAAACTAAATGGACCCTAAATTATTATTATTATTATTATGACCACTCACAGATGACATGAATAGTGAACAGTGGCACGTGTCAAGGTCTGGGATATATTTGATGGTTAGCTAGCAGTCAGTTCTCGTAGTCGGCTTGTTGGATGCAGAAGAAATAGCAAGGGCCAAATCAGAATGTCTGGGTTGCAGCATCTCCAAAATGGCAAGGCTTGTGTGGTGCTCCTGGTCAGCAGTGGTGAGTACCTACCAACCGTGGTCTAGGGTGGGACAAAACCATGAATCGGTGACAGGGTGCTGGGCACCCAAGGCTCATCGATGTGCAAGGGTAACAGAGGCCATCCTGTCTGGTCCAAACTGACAGGATGAACTACTTCACATTGGTCTGCATAGCTGCAGACCAGTCAGAGTGCCCATGCTACCCTATGTCCACCGTTGAAACCACCTGCAATGGGCATGTGAGCATCAGAACTAGTCCTTGGAGCAATGGAAGAAGGTCACCTGGTGCGATGGGTCCTGCTTTCTTTTACATCAGGTGAATGGCCAGGTGCATGAGCACCATTAACCGAAGTAAAGCAACCGGGATGTACTGTGAAAAGAAGACAAGCTGGTGGAGGGAGCATGTTGCTCTGGGCAATGTTCTGCTGGGAACCCTTAGACCAGGCATTCATGTGGACATCACTTTAACACGTGCCACCTAAATATCGATAGGGACCAAGCACAACCCTTCTTGGCAATGATGTTCCCTTGGATGCGTTGTGAGAAGGAGACAAGCTGGTGGAGGGAGTATGTTGCTCTGGGCAGTGTTCTGTTAGGAATCCCTGAGTCCAGGCATTCATGTGGACATCACTTTAACATGTGCCACCGACCTAAACATCGATACAGACCAGGCACACTCCCTGATATTCCCTGATTGACATCTTTGGCAAGAAGGGATGTACCTGGCTTTTCAGCAGGATAATGCACCCTGCCACACTGCACACATTGTTCAGGAATCTTGGCTCCAAAAATCCCCAGATCTTAATCCAATCAAGTATCTGTGAGATGTGCTTGAACCTTGCAATTTACAGGACTTAAAAGATCTCCTGCACATCTTGGTGCCAGGTAACACAGGGCATCTTCAGAGGTCCTGTAGAGTCCCTGCCTGGGGAGCTTGTCCTTTGCCAAAAAAGTATTTTTTGCAGTTTGGGCTACAAATAACAGTATAATGAACAAAAACTTGAATATTCAAATTAAGCTCCAAAGAAATTTAAAGCGACCTCCATTTCCTCATGCTGAGCCACTTTATTATGGCCAATGTGGACATGCACACGTGACTGACTTAAACAAGTTTAAGTGGTCAATGTATTGCCTCGTTTAACAGGGGTCAGTCACAACCAAGCACTTTCACCTAATCCCTCGACCTTGCTCCCATGTGGTTCTGAAGTTGCCCCAAAAATGCAAAATTAAAAATGCACTTTGCTACTTACATTAGCCAGCTCTTTCTCCAGCGCCATTACTCTGGTCACCTCCTGCCTGATGCTGCTCTCGTTGACCTCCAAGCCCTTGTCTCTTCGGACTAGCATAGCAAGGTCAACCATGAAGTTTTCATAAGTGGTGCAGGCCTGTGAATAAAGACCAGAACAGCTGTGACACATTAGCAAGAAGCTACACAGATTAGCTCTGTGTGGGTGGACGCAACTGTGTGTGAGACGGATCGAGAGTGAATGTATGTGTGTTAGAGAGTGTTTGCAGGAGTAGAAACACTGTTAAATTATGAACTAGTATGTGCCCTCCTGATGTTTCGCTCCCCAGTTATTTAGGAAGCATTCAGGGCCTCCTGGAACGCATTATCCAAGCTAATTGGGTTAATCTGTCTATCTCTCTACCTCCTCCCTCTCGATCTCTTCTCCATCCCCTGAGATCGTTCGATCTACCTTTGAATATTCATGCTTGCTGATTGGTTGGAGCTGGCAGAGGACAGGAAGTCCACTCCAAACGCTTCCATCTGCTGCAGTGCGTCCGGCCTCATTTCCACTCTGTGTTGGTTCTAATTACCCGCCAAATCTGGAAGGCATTACGGATGCGGAGCAGGCATGGCCTGATTTGAATAATAACCAGATGGGGCCTAACAATAGCTGTCCTCAGGGGCTGGACTGGACGCTAAAGTCCAAAGCGACAGGAACAATGGACGAGAGGGTTTGTTAATTATAGTTTACAGCAAGACTAAAGCAAGTCTAAATGCTGTTACAAACTATTATACTGTTATTATATTATAAATATAAATATAATAAATCAAAAATGTTCACATCAAGACTATAGATGCAGGATGCGACAGATGTTGTTATAGTCGTCCGGGCGACCCTATATGGGCGACCCTGGTCAAACGATGTTTTGGTGATTTTCTAAGAGAAAATAGGGTAACAATCCTCTACAGGACATTTTAACGGATAATTACTGTTTATTTGCTGAATTTAGCACATTGGGACATAATTGGGACACATAAGCAAAAGGTTGGAACAGTTATGGCACATTTTAGATTTTATATATAAATATGTCAAACTTAGTAAACAAATAGAAATTGCTAACTTAATTTCACTTACAAAATCAGCAAAACTGTAATTTGACCAGAGGTGTATTTATTTATTTATTTGTTTATTTTGCATATGCATATACACAGATCAGGCGCTTGTTTCTACGCTCATTGTCCATTTTATCAGCTCCACTTACTATATAGGTGCACTTTGTAGTTCTACAGTTACAGACTGTAGTCCATCTGTTTCTCTGCATACTTTGTTAGCCCCCTTTTACCCTGTTCTTCAGTGGTCAGGACCCCCATGGACCCTCACAGAGCAGGTACTATTTGGGTGGTGGATCATTCTCAGCACTTCAGTAACACTGACGTGGTGGTGTGTTAGTGTGTGTTGTGTTGGTATGAGTGGTTTATCAGTAATGCCTCTTTCTGTCTCTGAGTACTTTGATTTTAGCTCAAGGGAACAACTTAGAATTGACAATTCGCCTACAGCTATACATGATATGTTACTCTGCAAGTCAGAGATCACTTTTCATTTATTTTATTTCCAGTCAAAGCAGCCATCAAGTAATTTTTCAATATTTGCCATGTCCACCCTTTGCCTTTATTACAGCTTCCCTTCTTTTCTTTTAGTCTTGCACAGAAACCTGCAGGGATATTTTCCACACAACATTCAGTCTTAGAAGTTGGTTGCATTTTCTGCTTCTCACAATCCAAGTAATCTCAAATACATTTAGTGATGTTGAGATCTGGACTCTGGGGTGGCCAGTCAATGGTTCAGAGGACATCAGCAGCTTATTTGTTTGATAAATACGTCATGGTCTTATCAGCAGTGTGCTTGGGATTCCAGCACTCCTGCAATTTGCTCTCAATCAAACTGTTTCCTGAGGGTGTTACATGATGAATTAGTCCGTGCTTGTCTGCATTTATGATGCCTTCAATCAAAAGCAAATCACCGATTCCAGATGTTGCAGATCCTCAAACATGCACTATCCTGAGAATTGGGATTTTTTGCATGAATACAAAAGTAAATATTAAGATGTGTGCTACAGTTTCCCATTAGCTTGAATGACATTTTGCCCAGCAATCTTATTCAGTTATTAATCTGGTGACACTTTTGAGTCCTTTTAGATGAAATAAACACTGGTTCTCAATAACATATCAACAGAATATCAGTGAGGAAGCAGCAGTGAATACATTCAGTAGATTATCAAGAGACTTTTAATTAACTGTGTGAATAAAATTTGTTTATAATCTGCTGAATTCAGTTGTTTTTCACTTTATTTGGAGGGTCCAAGTTCATATCTGTAGATGTTTAACCTGAGAGGAACTGAACATGTAACAGGTTTAAAATAGGCCACCTCAACATCCTCAACACGCTGTGATAGACACACTGACACCATCCTGTGCTGGGAGCTTCACTGGATTAGGGTTAAGATTTAGGGCGGGGGTGAGGATTAGGATTAGGTATTTGAGTTAAAGTTAAGGTTAGGGTTAGGATTAGGATTAGATATATGAGTTGAGGTTAAGGTTAAGATTAGGATTAGGGCCAGGGTGAGGATTAGGATTAGATTTTGAGTTGAGGTTAAGGTTAAGGTTAGGATTAGGGCCAGGGTGAGGATTAGGATTAGATTTTGAGTTGAGGTTAAGGTTAGGGTTAAGAATGGGGTCAGAGTGAGGATTAGGTTTTGGGTTGAGGTTAATGTTATGGTCAGGATTAGGGCCAGGGTGAGGGTTAGGATTAGATTTTGGGTTGAGGTTAAGGTGAGTGTTAGGATTAGGTTTTGAGTTGAGGTTAAGATTAGGGTTAGGATTAGGGCCAGGGTTAAGGTTAGGTTTTTGGGTGGGGTTGGGTAAGGTTAGGTTTTGCTTAATGGAAGCAACATATAAACTCTTTCATGTAACATATCAACAATACATCTACTTAATGTAAGTAATCTATCAATAGTGCATCTTCAATTTTAATAAATCTTATTGTGCTCAGTTATTAATACTTATTTAGTAACTACTATGAAACTGATATGATAGTTCTGCAGTTATGAGATTTGAAGCATGGGCCGTCTGCATATGCAGTTTTAGCTACAGGGCAACATATATTTAACTAGACTTATCATCCTCCTAATGCATGTTTGGTTGTGGATGGAATCTGAGCCACAGGACTGGCTGGAGCAGTGTAACCTATACCTAAGCTTTGACAGCTAAAGAGATTTCCACTCTAAATGCAGTCCATTCAGGAAGAGTGACAGTTACCTTACTGTATAGGGACTTGTTGTACTGCCATAACTTTTATGAATGTACATCGCTATATGTTATCGCTGTTGTGATAAATTACATCACTGTGCACGTCTCTGAGTATATAATGGGTGTGGCTGGTACCACAACAACGAACAACTGCATGAATCTTAAAAAAGACAGATTTTGATCATTTATATAGAGGCTGTAAACAACAACAACCAGTGCACCGACATTATAAACTGCACAGTAACAAGTAGCTGAAGTTTATCAATTGTTTTCCACTTCTAAACTATTAAAAGTTGTACTGTTGTTTTGCTGGAAGAGTTTGCCTGTTCCAAGAGGAAAAAAAATAGGGGTGGGGGGGGGCTTTATAAAGCCCACCTGTGGCCTGAGTTGCTGTAATTGGCAGGTCTTACCT